TAGGGGAAGATGGCCAGGTATGTTCAATGTCTGTGGGTCCACAGGCACACGCACAAGCTGACCACTTGAAGAAGGGTCTTGGATAAAACGGCTTTACAGTGTATCCTGACCTCCGAACTCACAGACCAAACCCCAGCAGAACTATTGCTGATAAAATCTAAGGCAATCTGAGAGCAGGACAAGCACTAAATACAGAAGTGATGCCACACTTGGTGCTGAATGGCCTGGGGTCCAACCGAGGGCTCTCCTACTTCAGTTGTTATCCACTTACCTAGGTAAACACGCCCCGGGATTCTGAACAGTAAAATGGATGCAGACGGGTTCCAGTGTGCAAAAGCATGAACAAAGAGTCAGCCAGCCTCAGGCCAACTTCCCTCCAGCTGCATTGGCTCTCGTGCACTTGGCACATGTGCAGAAACAATGCCAAGAGTCAAGTTCCCAACTTGTCTGAAGCTCTGTGTCTTTTCAGGTCCCTATATCTACTAAAAATAATGGGTTCTTCTGGGCCGTTGGAAAACTGTGTAAGAGGCAGGAAGTGAATGCGCGCCATAAGCACCAGAGGCAGGGTAGAAATCTTTATTGCCTCTGGGATATAAAGTTAAGGTCACACCACATACTCTTGTCTTGGTACCCACCGGAGGTAGCTGCATGTTGGCATATCTTACTCTGTGGCATGGAGAGATCAGTCATGGTTAAAGTGAGTCCCGGAATGTGGGGTAGCATAGAACGTGGGGTGATGAAATTCCAAGTGCACTTTCCTTCTGCAGCCTTTACCAGAAGGGACATAATTTGACACAACATGTTCTCTTGTTCTGTGTTTGCAGTACGCTGTCAGGCATCCTACAAATGTGTACAAAGGACATGGTAATACAGGTGTTCTATATTGCCCCCTAGCTTTTCCCAAGAACCTAGTCATGCCCTACAGGTTTAGTAATGTCACCCTGTGACTTCCAAGAAGTTGACTGAGGTCCTAGGTCCCAGATAAGGGATATGAGCCGGAGAGGGGTAGGCAGTAAGAGGAGCATTTTCAACAAACAGAAACTCAGCCTTGAGCTCCAATCAGGTTTCTGTTTACTTCCCTTCCCTAACACCCCCTCTGTGGTTTTCTCATTCGGTGCTCTATCTGCCACAGATAACTTGAGAGCTCTGGAAATGTGCCCTTTGGTCTGTACATACAGGGAGGAAACATGACTTAAAGCCAAAAGAACCACGTGGTGGAGATGGTCCTGTTTGCTTGGACACAGTTTGTAAGACATTTTATAATCTTTTTACTGCAACTGCTGGCACACAGAGAGAATGGCTGGAGTGCTCGGGCATTTACGCCTTGTTCTTTATCTCCCCAGATGCGTGGTTACTCGCTGGTTGGGATTTCAGCGCAGGAAGCTGCTCTCCGTCCTATGCTGGGACTCTACTTCCCATGCCTGCTTAGATACTTTGAAGGAGTCCTGGAAACCCCCAGAAATCACCTGCCTCGGTGCTTGTTATGTTCTTCCTATCCTAAAGGGGGAAACTGAAACTGTGTGATAGTTACCCCCTCCTGCATAAGGAGGACACTGAACAACAAAAAGAAAAGGTACTTTAAGCGTGTTGTATCTGCCTCACTTTAGCGTGGCTCGTAAAGTATCTATCATACCTGCTTAAGTCCCACCTCTACCTCCCACCCCAACTAGAGAGGTCACAGGTGACCTCCAAATGTCTGCTTTACCACACCGGTATCAGAACCTCTGTTTGGAACTGCCCTGAAGATTCCTGCCGCCTCTTATCAGTCAAGCAGGCCTAATCTGCAACAAGACGTGTCCCAGGCCACAGCTAAGGAAGCTCCAGAACGCAGAGCTGCTTGATGTCCAAAGTGAAACTGACTGGCGGCTTGGATATGCCGCTAAAGCTGCACATCAACTGTCTGTGCTCAGGAAGCCAAGGAATCTGTGTAAAGGGCTGGATGAACCGTGTTAGAATGTGGCATTAGTTACCAGCAACAAAGTGCACATTCTGGCTCTACACAGGCTACAAAAGCAGGCAGATGCAATGCAGCAGCAACTCAGCTAAGCAAAAACAATAAATAAATACAGAGAAGATAAATGAGAGGAAGCTATAGGCTGTGCAACATCAGAGAAAGCCAGATCCTTCTTCAAGACTGCCATTAGCTTGCTCAGAGTAACCTGAGATACCCCAGGATTCCCTGGCTTGAACAAGCAGATGAGGTTACATGGAAATAATCCACATTCTACTTCATGCATGCCCTGCCTGCTCCGGATGGATGTCAGGGTCCTGGAAAGGATCCATGTTTATTTCTGGAAACACTAGGAATGAACAAAGCTGATCCCAACAAGTGTATTCTGGGCTTTCCCAGACCTCAAGCTTTCAAGGCCACACCTATTGCAGTGGAACCTGTGTTCCCATGGGCTATGAACCCAATCAAAGATTTCTCCTCCTCTTTGTCTTGGTACTCTAAGTCAAACCGTCCTTGGGGAGATGGACCTACTGGTCCTCTTCCCCATAGCCCTCAGAAAGGGCTGAACAGGGACATCAAAGCACTGCACATGGTGAGTCACTGAGTGTAAGGATCATCTTGCACCCAGTAGCCAAAGTTTCCTTGCATATAGTCTTGTCCAGCAGTTTCTTCCCTAGCAGCATTCCCAGTTATCTAGTAAATATAGCAAGTGGCCAGATTCATGTGTCCCAGCCTAAACTTAAGCTCAGTTCTCCATTTCAAAAGGAACTGGATTTTTTTTTCTGTCTTAAAATTGCCCTGTGAGACATGATATGCACAAAGTCCAGGCCCTTTCCATCAGGGCAGAAGGTATGAATGATATCCCTGGCGCATGCCTATGTTATTACACTAGGCTGAGAATGAAATTATTCTAAATCACGCTTGCTAAAAATCAATTACTATGGAGTACGCTTTTAAAGAATCTATTAACTACAAAGAAAACAAAACTGATATGCCTATGCGGGTTGCCACATCACTGTCCTTAAAAGAATTAGGAGAAATAATCACAGTAACCTGGTAACTGTTAACATTCAAAGAGGTACCATAACCCACGGTCTCCCAGAAATGCCTGCCCATGAATGGATAGAAGAGGTTTGGGGGGTTTTGTTTTTAACTTGTGTGTTTGGAGACAGGGTCTATGTAGCCCATAATTCTTCTGCCTCAGGCTCCCGAGTGCTGGAATTACAGGTCTATACCACTACATCATAGTCTTAAGATAAAAATTCTCCTTAGAAGAATTATCTTGTGTCTCCAGGACACAAACTATACTTACTGAGATTCACTGGGAAAAAAATCTATGCTTCTACAGAATTCATACTGGCCAAGGGTTAAGAACCCAGGATTGAACTGGGAGCTTCTAGTTGACAGTGGTGATCATACAGTACTGCACAGGAGCCAGAGACAAATACTACACCCATGAGTGATGCCAAATGTTTGCAGTCAATAGAGTAAACGCATTTCGCAGAGAACTGGGCTTTCTCAGATGGCAGTTGCAACTATTGGTGCATCATACCCTATACACCTGGAGCTGGAGGAGACAGACACTAACTGCCTTGAAAATACACAGAAACTCGGGTAGGGTCATTCATGATAACAGGTAAACCCAAACAGGGGGCTGACTGTGCCTGAAGACAAAGCTCGTTGGCTTGGTGACTGAGGAGAATTCACTTGCTTTGGAGCCAATTCAGAGCATGGATGGGGCCGTTTTTAGCTGTCGTATAACATCTAGTGTCGGGCCAGAAGCTCACCCCTGAATCCTAATCCTTCCCCCATATTCAAGCCAGGTCTGCTCCTCAAGCTAAAACAAAGAAGTACAGGGGTGAGAGAGTGTCAGTAAGATGGCTCAGTGGGTAAAGATGCTTGCTGCTAAGTTTGACAGCCTGAGGTCAGTCTCCAGGACCCACATAAGGGGAAGAGAGAACCAACTCCCCTAAAGATGTCTTCAGACCTCCATGTGTGCCATGGCACAGGCACTATGGCACACTTACCATGACACACTTACACATGTACACACAGCAAATAAAGTAAAAACTACCTTCTTTAAAAATGGAGAGGAAACCCCTATTTCTCAGCACAAGCACGCCACCCACACACACACACACACACACACACACACACACACACACACACACATACACACACACCATTTTGCAAGCCCTCCAAGGGAAAAGCACTACAGTGCCAGGTTAAGGTGCCACGGGGAGCATCAGAACCACACTGCTAGTCACCGAACTGATTTCCTTTCAGCTTCAGAGATCCTCCTCCTCTTGTACTGGGAGATGGTCTGGCTGGGAATCAGCCAATGGATGGCATTCCTCCTTATGCCCTACCAAGCCCTGCCCACAGAGGGCGCTAGCAGGAGACTACATGGTTAGAGCCGGGAGAAGGAACTCACTGACTGCTTCCTGATGGGTCCTACTGTCCCTTTCCACCTCTGGCAGCTTCCCCTTGGGTCCCTTTCTGTCAGCCAGGCAGTGGCAATGCCTTCCAGCGTTTGAATCTAATTTTTGAGTTTTCTAACACTCACTAACCCAGCCTCACAGATGTCTTTCATTGATACCAGGGGAGCAGAGACCCCTTCTCAAAGGTGGGGATAGGACCCTGCAGGGGTCCTCCTCAACACTGAGTCAGTAATCCAAGCTGGGTGAAACCCACTTCCCCAAATCAGAAAGTCTGAGCTCCACCACACATCTCCCTTCTGTAGGCATCCAACTCCAAATAACTCCAGGGACAGTGCAAGTTCCCACAGGGGCTACCTCTGTTGATAACTGAATTCTAATGCCTTTCTGCCATCTTTAGTCACCTGGTTAAAGGAAGGCACTGCTGTGGTTTCTGTCTACTATCTGAATGTGAACAAACACACCTGCAGTCAGGCCTTCAGCAGCTACAGCTGCCTCACCTCAACAAACTCCAGTGTTGGAGTCAGCGTCTATCCACCCACCCACTCACAGCCCGCTTTCTGATAAAGTCTCTGTCTGCCAACCTATGGATAAACAGGAACAAGCACAAGTTTCAAGGACGCGATGTAATTTGTAGCAAATGGTGTGTAACTGTTGTACATTCTCAGGTGGTGGCTGCAGGGATCTTTGTTAAACTTTGTCATGTGTCTCCTTGTTGGACTGTAGAAAGCCATAGGGGAGCTTCCACATGGCAGGCCTCCTGGAGAAAATTATCTTGTTGTAGTTTGATGTGGGATCCTCCCTGACTTCCATTTGTGATTGTGTGGGCTCTAGGATGACTACTGGAGTAATGTTTGTTGCAGAGCAAGGTTCCCATGGGCATAGCCTGGCCTCTGACAGGGCATCCTTCAGCAAGAGTTCTGAGGACTTGGATGACTTCTTCCTTTTCAGATGCATGAAACTAGGTTTGCTCAGTCTCATTGGCTTGTGGTTTTCCTCAGCAGCCTGCATGCACTCCAGCTCTTGGACGAGTGTTTTGTCAACGAGTCGCCTCACTTCCGGGGAAATGTATGTGACATAGGCTGGCCAAGGATTGTGACTTTCAAGCAGTGTCGGAGGGAGTCCGATGTTTTCTGTGAGTTCCACTAGGGAAAACAAACAAACAAACAAAAACAGTGGTTTAGGAGCGCTTGCATGCTCAGTAATTCATTTCATCAAAGAACTCCAGGGGTGTGGGACCACAAATCTCGCCCACCCCCTTATCTAGTGGGAGTAAAACCCAATCTAAAGATAAGAAATAGAATGATATTCTACAGACTACATTGATTAAATGACAGCAGAATACTACACTAAAGAGAAAGACTTGGATTGAGCAAACTTGCTTTCAAATGCTTTTATACAGTTGTTGGTTTAAGCCCTAAATTCTATTGTCCTCAACTAAATGCTTAGAGATCTGTGGAAGGACTGTAATATAATGACCCCTGAGTGTTCACAGAGGTTCTTCCCAGGGCTTCCCACAGTGACCAAATTCCATATGTGTTTAAGCTCCTTATTAAAAAATACTGTGTACTGGACATACTTGTGAAATCAATAGTGAAGAGACAGAGGCAGGTGGATCACACATCTGAGGACAGACTGAGCTACATAGACAGACTATCTTTAGTTTTTTTCAGTAGGAAAAACAAGATGCAGTATTTTCACAAAACCTAAGTAGTCCTCCTTTGTGCTTTGAAATTACCTCTAGAAAACCAAATACTAACACAATCAATGCTGGATGGGTGATTATTACACTGTATTGTGTAAAAGGCAATGTTTTGGATGTACCATTAATTGAGATATGTACCATTAATATGAGATGCATAACGTTAAGGATATATTTGTTACAGCTTGGAAGAATATAGCTTAGAGGACTAGAGTTTGCTGATAGACTGCTCACCTCGAGTGCATGAGGCCAGTGTTTGAGACCCAGCACTACTAAAAAGATAAGTATTAACTGGGTGAGTGCAGCAGCTTAGGCCTATAACCCCTGAACGTAGTGGAGGCAAGATCAGGATTTTGAGGCCAACCTGAGCTACATGAGGCACTGCCAAAACAAGACAAAGAGAGAAAGGGGGGGGACAAGAAGAAGAAGAAGAAGAAGAAGAAGAAGAAGAAGAAGAAGAAGAAGAAGAAGAAGAAGAAGAAGAAGAAGAAGAAGAAGAAGAAGAAGAAGAAGAAGAAGAAGAAGAAGAAGAAGAAGAAGAAGAAGAAGAAGAAGAAGAAGAAGAAGAAGAAGAAGAAGAAGAAGAAGAAGAAGAAGAAGAAGAATAGAAAAATAGAAAAAGAAGGAAAGGAAGGAAGGAGGGGGAAGGAAGGAAGGAAGGAAGGAAGAAAGAAAGAAAGAAAGAAAGAAAGAAAGAAAGAAAGAAAGAAAGAGAGGGGGACAGAAACAACAGCAAATTAGGTTTAGACCTTGGAGCCTTAACCTACTCAACCTGAAACAGGATGAACCTTAAACAAGTAACTCACCCTTTTTGAACTCTGTTGCCTCATTAGAGGCATTGACTGACTAGAATGAGAACTTCCCAAAGGCTTCCCTGCAGATTAGCAGTAACTCTGCCAAACGCTTAGCAGCTGTGACAGGCAGTAATCATTAAAGGGCAGCTATTACCTTCCAGCTGTGTGTCTGTATGAATACTGCATGTATCTCGTCCTTATTGCATCTTACAGTGGAGACATTCTCCCTATTTAGCAGAGGCCCGCACTGAGGCTGCTCAGTTTGCACATCTTACTAATGGTAAATCAGACCTCCAGTGCAACACATTACTCCCTGTGGCTGCTGCCCTGAAGTGCTGATGTTTGAGACCATGTTGGGTGCTTTGCTGAGAATTCTACCCACCCGTTTGCTAGTTCCTTAGCAGGTGCTGAGTCGTGCAAGGCAGACCTTCCTTCTCACATCTTGGCTGCACTCTGTGTACCAGAAATGACAAACACGTCTCCTGCATCTGCCTCTGCCCCATCTCCCCTGGTGGTGCATTCTTTCCCTGGTTTTTCAGGTCATTTCAGTGGGTGTTTGGGATGCAGAAGAATTAAACAAATTTATCTTGCCATCTTTAACCTGAGTTCAGAAACAACAAATAAACGAACATAGTAAATGGTGTAGTCAGGAGAAGTAATTCCTAGTCCTTGTGTTACTCTCCAAGATTTCCGGTTATCTGAAAATATTAAGCAGCAGGAATACATATCCATTCATTTTTATAATATAGCATTGTAATTTCCTATTTTTACTAGTTATTATTGCTAGTTTCAGTGAGCCTAATTTATAAGCCTCATCATGGCCACTCATACATAGAAGAAAACACAGTAGATACAGTGTGTAGTACTTTAGACTGTTTCAGACACTCATAGGAGTCATGGGATACATCCCCTGGGGAACAGGACCTACCATACACAGCTATTCCCTTGCTGCGTTGGGGACACTGAGAAGCTGGAGTTTGTCTGGGAACAGATCTATCAGTAAAGAATGTGCCGCAAAGGGTTCCTGATCCCTGCCATGGTCGTGTATTCCACTGCCTGAAGAGCACACCGGCCACTGCCTTTCACTAATAAAGACCTTTGGAAGATCCAAGTACAGACTTGAATGTCCTCTCCTTCCCAACCCTTCCTCGTATGTTCGAAGCAAGTGCAGAGATCTTGCAGGTTGGACATTCGCATGACTGTGGCAAAAGCAGAGCAAGCAACAGCCATGACAAACATGTTTTGTTTTCTACCAGCTCAAGAGCAGACCCCCCTCTGCCCATCCCCCAGCTCCTCCTGTATTCTTCTGCCCCAGTTTTCTCCCATTGTTATAGCTTCCGATCACATGTCCAAATGACTTTGAGAAAATGTGATAGGCAGGGCCTCCTCAAGCTGACCTGACAAGTGATCAGTAGCCACCCTGAGGATCCTAAGTCCTTGTGATCTGTCCCTTCAGGGAGAGCTGGGTGAGTCCTACCGCTTGCTAGTGTGGCCTCGCTCCTGCTCCTTATGTTGCCATGACCAGTTCTTCAGGAGTCCTGCTTTCAGATTCCCTGGCTCTACAGTGTGAGCACTGGGCAGCCTTAGAGAGTCCAGGTCTTGTTCCTGCAAGTGTGGCAGTGCCTCACCCTCTGACTTGTTCTTCCCAGCATGCAGCTGGGTCAGAAGTGGCAGAGATGGTCAGCCAGCTGCCAGGAGACACCCACCCAAGGAGGGGCAGAAATCAGAAAGCCTGAGTGTTCTGTGTGTCATGAAGACAGAAGATTTGGTGGGCACCATAATCATTGGTTCTCAACCTCACAGGTCCATCTACCTGGAGAGGTTTTCCAAGCAAGTAGATGCTGGAGATCAAATTCAGGTCTTCACATTACTCATGGTTAGCACTCTATTGGCTGAGCCATTGCTTCTCTACCCCAAGAATTCATTATTTACTACTCAGTTTTTCCATCTCTGCGGCCTTTAAGTATTTGAAAGGGTCATGGAACCTTTCAGCCATCACCTGCCAAAGCTCCATAAAAACATGCTGCAGATGACTGTTAATGAGTTCCCAGGAGATGCTGATGTTTCTGGGCACCACAGCCTGAGAACTCTTGGCCTAGGGTCAGTTCTTCCAAAATCTAATAATTCCTTCAATTGCCTGCAGAGCCTGTGGCTGTGCCTTACTCCCAGATGCCCCAATTCAGTGAATTTGCTTCCACAAATTCCAAAGGATGGTGATGCTCTTGATGCATGGACCACGCTGGGTACCACCCTGTCCCCAGCATGAGCAGCTGGTGCCATTTCTGTCAACTGCAACAGAAGTGAGCTGTGGTATGTCAACTTGTTCCCATGTGGCCCTCCCACCTCTAACATAGGAAATGCCCACCTTTCCACACCTTTTGTTCTCCCAATCAAGGAACTATGATGGGAACTGAATGTCATTAACAGAAACTTTAAACTCTTAATTTTTTATAAAGTAAATTATTCATAAATTTCAACATTTTATTTAAAACACCTACGAATGATAGCATCCTGGAGGTTTGTTCACATTAAAAAAGGATAAAAAAACAGAGAGAAGACAAAAGCCAGTTTTTGTCAAACCTTTTAGAACCAGGTCTTATAGGATTCTCCATTGAGTTGCAGTGGCAATGTCCCACAGGAAGGCATTTTAAAATTCAGTATCAATATAGCTTTTTTAAGCTCCAGAACAAATAATGCTCAAATTTTCCTCTAACCTAGAAAGAGATACTTGGGATAATTTTAAAGTAAAATCTAAAGCATCTTAGTTTTCCTTCTAAGACCAGCTACAGGTTCTCAAACTTTAAGGTCATCCATTCCAAGTTTCCTCAAACAGAGAGCATCCAAGTGGCCACTGACTCTTGCCTGTCTATCTTCAGTGAAAGAGGACTCAACTTACCACCCATGTTTGTAAAGTTACTAGAATTTATGCCCCCCCACGGTGCCAAATGGTGGAAACACACTTGGAGATGATAATATTTAGGGGACTGGGAATAATTCCTTTCACTTGTTTCTAAATTTCTGATTAACAAATCTGAAGCAGCCATGAAACCCGGTTCCTAGTTAGCTCTGTTCTAGAGCCTCTGTGTTGTGTGCAACCCAGAGCCTCCCACGCTATCCCGATGGGCTTCTGTAGCACCGCCCAGAGTGGCCAGTGGGTAACGCCGTCAAATGGTTGGTTTTAGCTGCAACAGGAACTATGGAAACTCAAAAACGGATGATTGAGATAGTCTCAAAATGCATGTTATTTTCAACTTGTTTGTTGAAAATAACATGAGATAAATAGTTGACATAAGTCTAAAGGCAAACTGTGGCCTTTCACGATTTCCTTCAAGTCCAGCACAAAGGTTCTATTTTGTCTTCCTGTAAATGAAATGCAAAGCCACAGTCTCCAGACAGAAACAGCATTGATGGCAGTGGTGGCAGACCACGCTGAAGTCGCTTTCTTGTTTCTCCCACAGACACCAAGGTCCATGTTGAAGCAACTGGGTGTCCAAGGCAAGCACTCCTCAGTCCCCACTCAATTTCTCATCACATTTTTAAAATCTAGTCTGAGATACTAAGTTCGGACTCAAAGGAGTGACACTGCCCTGGAATGTGTCATAACTGTGGCAAGGATTGTGTTCCTTAAATTGTTAGAGCCTCTGCTGTT